AAGGCCATGACCATCCTCCCGGGGCACTCAAGAGACATTTACTTAGTGTCAGAACTGTTTCCGGGTCATTCTTAAATATGTAGACAAAGAGACTCCTTGTCTGTTTAGAACGTTCCATGATGTGGTTATAGTTGTGATGACCTGGGCACTTCGACTATGAAGCCTATAGATCAGTAATCAAACAGAAAAGCTACAAGTCACACCGCTGACCTCTCAGTATCTCTTTTGTGTCCTTTACATGTCTAGGGTACTGCTGGGAACTAGGTGTCTCATAAAGGAAACTTTCTGTGGCAACCAGCAGTTTCTCTCTATAAACTGAGTTATTTGTTTTAATCATATTTTGGCAGAATTAAACTTATGGTATTTGAGAGTGCTAACAGTACTTAACATTGAGCATGGGATTAGTGTTACTGTTTTAAAGTGTTAAAACATTTGTATTTCTCTATTTTGTAGTGTGTATAGGTTTTATTAGAAAAATCATAATAAACAATGTTAAAGTAATCATAAACACTTGTAACTTAAAATATAAAATTAAACTTTCATTTTACACATACTGTACTTTTCCCCTTTTTATGCCTTAGGGTAGTGTTGCTACTTATGAAATGGTTTTCTGCAGTCTGGACCAGTTTGCTGTCCCTAAATCAATGGTCATACTATCCATGAATTTATGAACCATTTTCTGCCTTCATTAGTGTTGATCATGAACACTAATGAAAATTTGGTTAGGAAAAAGGTGAAATGGTTGGGATTCAGGGTAGAAAATAAGTCCCCACAAAAGAGCACTGACCATTGATAACATTCTACCTGGTGCAGGGAGGTAGAAGAATGTAGGTACACTTGACCCACTGAGGCAGCCACTCTGGGTCAGGGTAGGCAAAGACCCAGCATAGCCTGGGGGAGGGGATAGGAATTTCAGGTACAGATTGATGAAACCTAACACTTCAGTTGTCATAGAAGATTTCATCTTAAAATATAAAAATATGATGTTAAATATATCCTTGTGGGGGCATTCTCTGAATATTTTCCAGGCTTTGAGTCTAGGGCCTGTTGCTCTGTCCCACCCACAGACTGGGTGGGAGGGTATGGGGAGCTGAAGACAGGCTGGGAGATGCTGCTGTAAGAACAGGTCAGCACCATGCAAGCCTTGTGGACGGGGTGAAGTCTACTCCAGATGCCCTTAGGAGCTGGGGATTTATTATTTCTTTGCATGCGTATGAAGAGAAAGGTGGCTGGGCAAGCAGTCTGGACACACTTTTCATGCTCCCACTGCCTCTAGCCTCAGAGTGCCCAACAGGCTTTGGTCAGCAAGGGCGGAGGCTTGCCTTGTAGAGAGGATTTGTGTAGAAGATGTGTGACTCAGAGGCACTGAGGGCTTACTTACTGATGACCTTGGAGTTACTAAACTTGAATCTGCAAATCACTTGGTCGAGACTCTTTCCATTATGAAAGCCATATCCTTTTAAAAACAGTGGCTTGGATTCTGCAAAGACATGAGGAAGAGGTGGGTATTGCCTCTGCTTCATTGTTCATGGTGGCCTGACCCCCAAATAGAATTCCCAGGACCCCATGTCAGGCAGCAGCTGGTTCTGTAACAATATGTGTGGGCTCCACAAGCCAAATCCTCATGTGTCACCAAGGGTCCACACCAATGTAGATTGGTGGGGGCCTGTACACACTGATCAATATTCTCTACCATTCTTAATAAGTCCATGAATGACATCAAACTTAAGGAGTCAACCCTGAATTCCCATGGCTCCAGGTTGGCAACCCTAGGAAAAGGGACAGCATATAGGGATCAGGGGAGGCCCTTGACCTGTCCAAGCGTGTCCCTCACAGGAGACTTCTTTTCTTACCTGCAAAGCCAGAGGCCAACACATCCTCCCTCATCTATTCCTTCTCACCCACCTAGGACCATAGCTCAACACACTGAGAATCAGCAAGCTCTTCCTAACCCACTGGGATGGCTCCCTGCCCTTGATTCCAGTACATAGGAAACAAGACACCTGGGAAGCTGTTACTATAGGAAGCAGACAGGATTCCTGCAGCTCTCCCCCTGCAAATTCACACTCATTGTCCTGCACAGATGCCTTGAGGACTTGCCTGGCTTATCCCTATCACCCATGCACTTCAGATACCACAGGGCAGTTGATCAAGAATTCTCTTCTGCACCTGGCTTCTCTCTTCAGCCTCCCTTGCACACAGGCGGACTCAATGCCAGCCTGAGAAACAGCCCATTTTGCTTCATTTGGGGCGTAGGTTCCTGCCTTGGGCTTCCCTCTAAGTGATAGGCCCCTGTGTGTGACAGCTTTGGACAAGATAGCTAACAGTTTAACAGGTCAGTGGCTGAGCAGTGTCTGGAGGCACCTGTCACCTTGGTTCGGCTGCACTGAGGAAAGAGTATCTGGGGTTTGTCACAGCTGCCCAGTGTGTCCAGGGACAGAGACTTGCAGCAGTCAGAATGGCTGTAAGACCTGGCTACTTTACCCAGAAGCAGAAGAGATGCTGTAGTGGGAGGGATCCTCTGTGCCTCACCCCTCAGTACCACAGTCTCCTCACTCTTGCACAGCACGGACAGGGACAGCCCAGAGCCAAAGACTAGGATGGAAATATCAGGACCAGGACCTGTCCTCAGCACCTACCAGCCTGTAGATGCTACACCTGTCACCGCAACATCCATGGTCTCAACAGTCCTGACATGCCATTTCTATCCATTGGAGGATACAATGCAGCCTCCCTCACATGTGGCACTTTGCCCCAGGGTGGGTGTTATGAGTAGCAGAACTCAGATGTGAGTACTGTTGTATCTGCTCAAGACTAGAGCCTCGGGGTCCTACAGAACACAGAGGTCAGGATCCAGTTGCCTGGGCTGGAGGTTGCTGAACAGCTGAGTTGACCCAAATAGGACAAGACTCAGGATTTCTCTCTCCCTCTTCCTCAGAGTGCAAATGCCAGCCATATGAGGACCCAGCCTATGTACACAGTGCTCCTGACAGAGATGCAGCCTTCCCTTTAGACCATACAAGCATGTCCTTGGCACTGACTCAAGGACCCTGGGCTGGAGAGAGGGCATTCAGGTCCAGAGGTTGTGGCTGTCTTTGTGATTATCTGTCAGATATGGAGGTTTCCTCCTGCTCCCTGTAACATGGTGGATGCCTACTGTGCTCGATTCTTCACCTTCATCAACTGATATGATCACCTTGCTGTCTCCATTTATGGATATGGAAACTCAATTGGCGTTTCCAACTTTGGTTGCATCTGGCCTTTTGGAGAGGAGCCGAGTTGCTCTTGACAGACAGCTTGAGCATCCTTTATTTTAACAGGTGGAATCTTAAATGCTCCAGAATCCAAAACCTTTTGAGGTTCAACAGGTTCCGTAAGTGGAAAAAATCCTTAAAATTTACATTTAACCTCATGCAATGAGTCAAAATTAAAATGCTGGCATACCCAAAATGTCTGCTATCACCTTTAGGCTGCGTGTGTGCAGTGTATATGAGGGGACTTGCATCCCATCCTTTAGATATCTGTCATGTCTATGTAAATATTACCAGTATGAAACAGTGCAGTATCCAAACCAGTCCTAAAGCCAAGGGTTTTGGATGAAGGATGCTCAAACTGTGTTGGCTTTCTGCATGTTGCTGCGTTCTAGGATTTCCTTGAGAGTCTTGAAAGTACTGTATGTTTTTCCTACTTTACAATGAAATTTTTTTGCTCTGAGATAAAAAGATGGCAATTGCACATACATACTTACATTGCCACCTCTGACACATACCCCTTGACAAATTTATATTGCATTATACCTAATTATGGAGATAATATGCCTGCCACCACCCCCTACTCAACCATAAACACCCACCACACACTCCAGTACGCATCAATACATAGGACACACCACATGTCCCATGTGTTCTTGTCCAACATTGTATGCAAATATATCGCATACCAAATATGCATACCACATGCCATATGTCACATGCACCCCATAACCTACACATTATATACATCTGCCACATAAGCCACATATGACACATAGGCACCACTTAGAGCTTATGAACATAGAAAAAACACACAGCACATGCCTCACAAACACAGCATAGACATCATGTGCATGCACATAACATAAGAAGCACCACCTGCATACCACAACACATGACATAAGACAGAAGCTATACAAGCAACAAACACAAAAATATATATCATACATACTACATCCATGTACCTACCACAGGCAGGGATACAAAACAGATATACGGCAAACAGACTTTGCCACTCACACCATATGTCACATCCATCACCTACTTGATATGTACCCACATTAATACATACGTCATAACAGCACTTACACAAATACACCACACACACACACATACACACACACACACACACACATACTATGCACCCTTTGCACACATATGCATACACACAGCTTTGTGCCCAAGCAGGTGCTTTTCAAATCTCACCTCCTATGCATAGAGGGGAAGGCTCCACGTATCTGAGCTCAAGGCAGGTCATTGTTCCAATCTGACAGAGAGTGGTAGAAAGGCAATGAGAACACTGGGGGCCCAGTGAGATGCTGCTACCCACACCACTCACACCCATACAACTCACTGAGTCAACTAATTCATGTAGCATTTTAGATGAGCCCTCTACAATGAACACTGTGTTTTGGCTGTCTGCAATTTCATTCATCTACAAAAGAGAGGTGGTATCAGGAGCGCCCAGTCAGGAGACAAAGGATGCAAGTGGTCCCTGAACATGAGGCATAGCCTCTTGCTCTCAGGTGATGAGGACTGGGAGACATCAAGATCAAATGCTGGCCCCCACCCAAAGTCTAGGGGAGAGAGCAGCTTATTCAACCATGTTGATTATGCTTCTACTGGGCCACCTGTTGTCCATGTCCTCTGGGACAGGTTCAGATCATCTTCTGGGAGGTCTAGGTAGCTGCCTTTGAGAACCTTTCCCAACAGGCTTCAGAGGGCACCTGCTTACCTGGGCTGAGTTACCTGTTTTCTATTATAGTTGCCCAAACCGACACAGTAAACATAAGCCCCCATGCTCCGAGCCCTGTTAGCCTAAAAGGAAAGAAATGTTGAGTTTACATCCTCAAAATACATGAAATTTTTGGGTGGATGAGCTCGGCTCACCTGCCACTTAGACTCTTTCACTTCTTGAGGTGACAATTCTCCCCAAACCACAGCGATGATCAGACTAGATCTCTTGGTAGCTGCCAAAGAAATAGAGTAGTGTGGTGCTTAAGGCCCAGCACGTCCCACTACAGGCAGACCTGGTGGTCCCCACTCCTCAGTCTCCTGTGACAGGAGCCCAGACACAGCACGTCTTATACAGAACCCCTAGGGAGCTCAGGGCCCTGCCTTCCAGGTTACCTGGACACTCACTGTCTGATGAACTCTGCAACCTGTGCTCTGAGGGCAGCCAAATCACACCCGATATTTCAAAGCTGTCCCTGGACAGTAGGAGGAGTGGACAGACTCTTGTGCCAATGCTGCCTAGTGAGGCTAACACCAGCTCTGAGCACAGTCCCAGGGTTGTCCTCCCAGCAACAGTGGGCCCAGTGGATAAGGACTACTGGTCAGAGGGGCTTCAACAAGATCCCAAATCCTCTTAGCATCTTTTCTCCCCTGGACCTGCCTATTCTAGGCAAGTGCCCTTGGACAATAGCCCAGAGGGACATTGGTCTTAGCTTTGCATGGGCTGCTTATGTTGGCTGATACGTGGGCTCAGACGACAGGCCAAAAATCGGGAAGAGGTGGAAGAACAAGGCCTGGCAGCTAAGAGGAAAGGAAACAAAGAACCAAGTACTGTTTTCCATGCCCTGCCTGGGTCCTTGGTCTGCTCAGGCCCCTGTGCTTTCTTCTGTCTGTTTACAGGCCCATTGTGAGCCAAGAACCTCAGAGTGAAAAAGAATATTACAAGCCTACACGCAGTCTCTTAGCCCTCTCAGAAGTATCTTGGGGGTGGGGTAATATGCTCACAGGGTCCTCCTGTTCAGAGAGGGGAGCACTGGCTCTGAGAATTGGGAATGGAAGAGGACCAGGGATCTGAACACCGACTCTACAGGGAGCCCTGGCTCTGTGGAGATCCACCCTGTGAAGGCACAGGCAGCTCACCTTCTAAGTTGACTTTTTGGATCTGTTCATTTGCCTGCCGGGAAATGAAGGAACATTGGGAACATGGTGAGGTGAGCCCAGTGGTACTCTAAGCTGAGCCAACACCCACAGTGGTTCTAGCCCTCTGAACCTTTTCCAATCCCGTGTGTAGGAATGTTGGTCCAAAAATTTGAAGCTTCCGCACGGCGCTGAGGTGACGGCGGATTGCAGCTCTGAAGATGAAAAAAGAAAGGTGAAGAGTGCTGACACCACAGCTTTATCACTGTGTAGACTGTCAGAGTGGAGAGGGAACGAGGCCGTTACCCCTATTCTATCCCCTGAGCACCGAGGAAGTTGGCGGGGGGCTCACTGGGTTCTACAAGAAGGTCTGCCTCTGAGCTCATCCCTGCCATTGAATGTTCAGACAGTGGATACCTCAACAGGGGCCCTATCTACACCATCCCTGATGAGCATGGGAGCATCCTGGGGGTGTACATCTGAGCCAGGAACTCCCAGGGGCACCTGCATTCCTAATGGGAACCCTAATAACAAGGTCACCTTTCTTCTGAGCAGTCTAATTTTCAGTGGGTAGGGTTGAGGGGGACCACGCCATCCTGCTAAGCTGCTGCCCAGCTCCCATCCCCACTGCCATAGAGCCCTGGCCTGACTCCCTTCCCTTTATTCTGCTAAAGGCAGCAGACAGTCTGCTTAGACCTGAGCCAACTGTGGACTCCATGTGTTACAGAAGGCCTAAAATTGTGAGTCAGACCTGAAGGCTGACCATGAGGTAGTTGGCTGCTCCCCCGACTGGAAGGGAACATGGCCTGTCAGGCACTGCTAAAACAGATAGGACACAATGGGACAGGCAGGGCTAGCTCTGATGGCTGATCTAGGACAGGAAGTGGGGGCTGTGAGATTCAGCATAATCTAATGTGACAAGGCTGAGCAGGCACAGCAAGATGACCTAGAGTGAACTCTGAGGTGGCTTCCTGTTAGGACAGTTAGACCCTGCCATGAACTAAGCTGTGAGGATTCCATCGCTGGACCAGTTAAGTCTTGCCTAGAGGTTGAGCAGGCACAGCAAGATGACCTAGAGTGAACTCTGAGGTGGCTTCCTGTTAGGACAGTTAGACCCTGCCATGAACTAAGCTGTGAGGATTCCATCGCTGGACCAGTTAAGTCTTGCCTAGAGGTTGAGCAGGCACAGCAAGATGACCTAGAGTGAACTCTGAGGTGGCTTCCTGTTAGGACAGTTAGACCCTGCCATGAACTAAGCTGTGAGGATTCCATCGCTGGACCAGTTAAGTCTTGCCTAGAGGTTGAGGAGGCCATGCCTACCATGCCTGAGGGTTGGCAAACCAGGGTCTGCCAACTCCAATTCAGCTTCCTCTCCGCTCTGTTACAGAAAAAGCAGCGACCACAGCTGAAGTTAGGTGAGGAGAAGGAATTCAATTTACCTTAATCCTTCCATAAATGAGTCAGTCCACTAGCATAAAATTAAACTCCCTCTCCTCACCTAACCTGGACTCTTAAGTCTCTGATTTTTCTATAACATATCCAGTAAAGTAACTACCTTCTGCATAACCTAGCCCCCTCCCTTTGTCCAGCCTAACCCCCCCTCCCCTCTACAAAGTCCAGCCTCCTCCCCTCCATCTAACCCTCTACCTAGCCCAACCCCTCCCCTTTGTCCAGCCCAGCCCTGTCTACCCTCTTCAGGTCAGCCTTCCCCACTATGCCTAGTCCTGCTATCTCTCTGAGCTCCCTAATAGACTCTGTCCCATAGATGTCTTCTCCGTTACCTCCAACCTAGTCAGGTCTCTCCAAATCCAAGACAGGGCAAACCTCAAAGGCTTTCCCTGGATCTTTGAGGGCCAATCCCTTCCTGCTCGTCCTTGATGAACCTGGGGTGCTGTCTCCACAGGCCTGGAGCTTGTCCACTTCACTCCTTGCTTTTCTCCAGGGCCAGGACAAAAGCTTTCTATAGTTTCACATTCACCTCAGTTTTAAAATCTCTCTCTCTTTCTCTCTATCTTCACTCTCGCTCTTGCTCTCGCTCTCTCTCTCCCTTCCCTTCCTCCTTCTCTTTGTTCTATATGGAGTCCCAGCTAGGGTGTTCAAAGTGCTCCCTCTCAGACAGAGACCTTTAACTTTTTGCCTCTGGGACTCTGGGCAAATGGGGCCCCTTCCCTGTGTAAGCTGCCTGTTCCTCATATCTACCTGCAGCAGCTAGCCCTGGGGACTCCCTCCCTATGATCACAGAGGGTCCCAGCAGCCCTTCTCATGCCCCAGCACTTCCCCCTTGGTTCCCAACTATTTCCTTGCCTAGCCCACTGGCTCAAGCAAACAGTGACCAACTGATAGCAGGCCCCACACAGGCTAAGGTTTGGGGGGGCACATATCTGCCCTGACAGCCCCCTGGATCCTATGTATTGTCACAGTCAGGGCCCAGGGAAGATTCAGGACTGATGAAGGAAACAGGGAGAGAATTTCTGGAAGCACAGAGTCTGTGGGTTCCAGTGAAGCAGAGATTCAAAGGGTCTAGTGATCTAGAGCTAGAAGTCAGTGTGGGTACCAACCAGCCACCACAGGCAACCATGGGAGCCACATGAAGGTCCCTGTGAGCCCCCAGATTCTGGGAGTTCCTTATGTTCAGACAATACCCACCTGTCTGAGGTGAGTGGCATCCTGATTTGCGCTTGACTATTGAAGATAATGAAGGACATCCGCAGTTTGGGGCTGAGGACAAAACATGGCCTGTGAGAAGGCAATGAAACAGATCCCCAGCCCATCAGGGAGCAGCCAGGAAGGGAACATGTGCCAAATCTCCTACTACTTCTCTTTTGCAGAGATGGGGAGTCTAGATAATTTGGTGAAGTGCTCTGATGCCTATGAAGATGGGGGGCTCCAGGGAAAAAGAGGCTTTCCAGAATGGCCCTCTTCTCCATCCTTGTACTCCAGTACCCAACAGATACCCCCCCACACACAATGTGCACACATGTAGACATACATATATGCATGTATAGACATATATACACATGCTCTTCCAGTTTCTTTCCTGTTGCTTTGATGAAACACCCTGAACAAAAGCAACTTAGGGGAGGGAAAGAATTTACTTTGGGCTTACAAGTCCAGGTTACAGTTCTTAATTGCCTGGAAGTTACAATGGCAAGAGCTTGAGATAGCTGGCCATATCTCATCTACAGTCAAGGGTAGAGAGAAACAAACACACTTGTGCTGACTGCTTGCTCCAAGTCATCTAGCTTTCTGCTGTCCTATATAGTTCAGGACCCTTTAGCTGGAGGAATGGTACTGTTCACAATAGGCTGGGTCTTCCTGCATCAATTAACAATCAAGGCAATCCCTCACAGACGTGCTCACAGGCCAATCTGACCTTGATAATTCCTCAGTTGACGAGACTCTCTTCCCAGGTCATTCTAGGTTGGGACAAGTTGATATTTAAAACTAACTGGCACACATGCTGAGCAGGCCTGGTGACACCCACATTCCTCTATGGGGTTCTCCCTCCCACCTGACATTTCTTCTACTGTTATGTTCTTTGCTTGTTTAATCCCTTTTCCTTACCCTTGTCCCCTAACTCCCAGGTAGGAGCAGCCAATACTGTGGAGACCTGCTCTGCCTACATGTTAGCCTTGGTCTGTGCTCTCTATACAAGGTCTCCCATGCCCCTAGTTCTAGTGGATGTGTCCCTAGCCTGCCAGTGGACCACGCCTGCAGGGAGCCTGCAATGTGCAGAAGCCATACTTCAAGTACTTCTCCACCATATCTTCCCAAGATGTGAATAAGTCAGTCCAGTCTACCACGTTACTGGAGCTAAAACAAAACAAAATAACAAGGGTCAAGTCACATCAGTGAAGTGGCTTATGGAAAGGGAAGGTGTAGCTTCTGTCTTCCCACCTTCCAGCAGGCTTTTGAAAAAGCTACATCCTCTCCCATGTGCTGACTGCAGCAGTGGTCACTCCAGGAGACCTCTACCTGCCCCTCAGGTGGTGATCCATTTGCAGGCTTTTGTTTATCACCTTCTCATGACACCCCAAATTCCTCTCATTCCTCTAGATTTCCCAGTACCCACAGAGGCGGATAGAGATATTCTCTTCAGGAGCCTGGGCCTCAGCCATGAAAGTGAGTGCCCGAGACTGATATTTAAAAATTATTATTAATTGGACTGGAGAAATGGTTCAGCACTTAAGAGCACTGGCTGCTCTTGAAGAGGACCTGGGATTGATTCCCAGCACCCACATGGTGGCTAATATCCATCTATAACTCCAGTTCCAGGAGATCTGGCGCCCTCCTCTGACCTCTGTGGGCATTGCACCACGTGGGTGCACTTACATACATGCAGGCAATGCACATAGACATAAAAAATTAAATAAAATATTAAAAATCTATTAATTTACCTTTTAGTATACAAAATGATGAGTTTCTTAAAAATTTTTGTTGATTTATTTTTATTTTACATGTATGAGTATTTGTTTGCATATATGTAAGTATACCATGTGTATACAATGGAAACCAGAAGAAGGCACTGGATTACAGACAGTCGTGAGCTGCCATGTTGGTGTCAAGAACTGAGTCTGGGTCCTCTGCAGCAGGTGCTCTGGACTGCTGAGCCATCTCTCCAGCCTCAAATGGGTTTCTTTATGATGTTTTCATATTTGTGCATCATTTTACTTGGCTCATATCTGCCCTCCCTCTCCCCTCATCGGTTTCACTTGTCTTCCCTCCCTTTCCCCACTGATTTCCTTCCTCTCCATCTCCCCATAAAAAGTGCCCCTGATTTTGTCACATACACACACATACACACACACACACACACACACACACACACACACACACACACACACTCTCACACTCACCCAGGTTCCTCATAGGCTGAGGCTGCTTAGTAGCCTAACTTTCTCAGCAGCCTGCAGAGCCCAGTCATTCTTGTTGGGAAGAAGTCCTCTTCTCCTTCTCCTCCTTCTCCTCCTTCTTCTTCCCCCTTCCCCCTTCCCCCTTCCTCCTTCCCCTCTCCCCTTCCATCTTTCCCTTCGTGGACATCTTTCCCTTCCTGAGGGAAAGGTGCCCTGTGCGAAATAAATCTGTGTCCCACTGAGAATTCCATCTGTTCTTCTTCTTCTTCTTCTTCTTCTTCTTCTTCTTCTTCTTCTTCTTCTTCCTCTTCTTCCTCTTCTTCTTCGTCTTTTTGAGACAGGGTCTCCCTGTAGCCCTAGCTGGCCTGAAACTCACTGTGTAGACCAGGCTGGCCTTGAACTCACAGAGATCCACCTGCCTCTGCCTCCTGAATGCTGGGATTAAAGGCGTGTGCCACCACACCCCTCAGGAGGGCCTTTCTGTTCAGACACTGGCAGGTGAAGGCAGGCACAGGCTTAGCTAAAGCATTCCTGGTATCACTGTTCTCAGTGGTAAGATGAACACAGGCCCTTCTAGTCCTGCCAGACCTTCTATGGCCTTCTGGTTAGTGGGACTCATATTTCCCCCACTTCCCTCAGGCCAACTTTTTTGGAATCTTACAACTATGGAAAGGTGAGGCAAACTCTAGTTATAGAGCAGAAGAGAGCCTAGGGCAGATTTTATTCTTGATCCTAGAGACATATAAAGTAAAACTGAGGCTGGACCTCCACCTGGGTTCTTTCCTTGAGTTGTGTTGGATCATGCCTTTTATGGTCTATGAATCAGAGCTATCTATCAACAGGCTCTACTTCTCCCTCCGGTGATCCCTATGCCCATTCATGTCACTTTCCTGAAGGTCATGCTCATATGTTTGATTGTCACATACCATGGTCAGCCTTGTGATATCAGCTAATCTGCTTTTCACAAGACAGATAAGTGAGTTCTAAAAGCTGAAATTCACTCTTGATAGTATTCACACTTAGCATGGTTCTGAACCCAGATCTTTTCCAGGCCTCATGCACTACCCATGTATTTGGCATATCCAGGGGATGCTACAGTGCCTGACAATTATTGGGTCACTAAGTCCAGTACAGGGAGTTGAGAGGTGCCCTAAGAAGAGGCAGACAGGAGGTCCTTCTTTCTTTTATAGGATGGGGCAGGGGTCTATGAACAGGATATCTGCTGCTCGACCATCTGTCCCGAGGCCAAGAAGGAGTGACACTTTGAGAGGCTGAGGCCTCTTTTCCAGTGGAGACTTCCCAACAGGTTGCTAGCTGCTGATAGAAACAACAGACAAAGGCTGCGATGGGGGGATTATTAAGCAAAAGAACGGGAGGAGATTCTGAAGTCCTGCCTCAACACATGTGTCCTGAGAGCAATGGTTTCCATTCCTCACAGAGCAAGGGCAGTTCCCTGTCTCTCATGCACAGCTGCCACAGAGGTGAAGCCCTGGCAGACAGGGGCCTTGGGAGAGAACTGTGGTCTGTACAGGGATGGGTGTTGAGAGGTGCTTCTGTATGGTAGAGGTACAGAGTAGAGGCCTGGGGACCCAGACCTAGGAAAGCCCCATTCCAACCCAGTCCTTTCTCTTCTCAGGACAATACAGAGCAGATACACCCTCTTCATTCTGACTATACACTGCAGAGAAGGAAGGAAGTCAGAGCCTCTAGCTCCAGAGATCAGTGACTCTGATTTGCTTTATCCAACAGCTACCACAGTCATCATACCCAAAGGAGACCGGGAGAAGTGGGGACCAGAGGAGGCAGACACTCAGCCATGGAAGTGGCGATTGTTTTCTCTCCCTAGTGTACCAGGGCGGCACGGCTCTTGAGCCTCGTTCCCAGAGTAGGCGTCCATCAGCTCTGCCTCTCTCTTGCTCTTCTTCTTTTGTCCACTCCAGGCTTATGGGTGCTGTGCTGTCCTGGATTCTGTCTCCTTGCCCGTGTCATTGTTCACACCGTTGCAGGGCTGGCACCTGCTTTTCTCCCAGTCAGTCTGTGTGGGTCTCCAAGGACCCTTCTTCCCACTGCAGTCCCAGATCTGTCCTTCATCCTTCCAGAGCAGCCAGTGTCCCTTATGAAACACAGATTGGATCCATCCTCCCCTGATAAAAACCTTTCTCTCAGTGACCCTCAGTCTCATCTGTCTTCCCTTCTCATCCTTCTTCCTCCATCTTTTCCTCACACTGTGGTCCCCCTGGGACCATCAGAAACTTGAATTTCAGAGCCTTTATCCAGGTGACTCCCTTCCCCAGTCCTCAGAACTCACCTGGGCAAGAATGCAGGTGCATACTCATTTTCTTTAAATTCATTCCAGTAAGGAAACCAATAAAAATGAACCTAATATATGAGTCAGACATGAATGTCCAAGGAACCATCCTGACCTTTTCTTTCTCTAGACATAAAGGAAACTAGAGTGTTCCGATTCTCTAATCTCACCAACAGATTGCTCTTGCTGCTCTTCTGGCAGAAACCGGCACCCCCTTAGGCCATGTTCTGCCAGGGGATGGAGGCTTTGGAGGGGGGCACCCAGAGCCAGGGCGGGAAGGATCACTTACATGTCAAAGAGGAAGTAGACATCAAATTCACCATCACAGTATTGTAGAACCTCCTCTTCCTTTGGGCTCTGCCTTCCCATCCAGTTATGATAGCCAGATAACCTAACAAAGCTTTCATGATAGGGGTAGATGGGTTCTGGGTGAGGGCTCAGGACACGATGGGCTGTAACAAGTAGCACAGGCAATCGCAGCAACAGCAGGAGGAACACAGAACAGGACACCTGGGAACAGCAGTCCTGCATTTTCTCGTAATTCCCTTGAAATTGGGACCCTGTGCCAGAGTCTAGATAGACTAAGTGCCGGTCACCTCTGACTTCCTTCTCTGTTGCCTCTCCCTGTACCTAGGGCCACAGCCCTGGTACCTAGTCACTGGTGCACACTGCCTCCTTTCACCTGGTATGCTCTGAGCATGGGGACTGGGGAGGTAGCTGCTCTGGGACGTCTTGTCTCCCACTGCCTGCATAGCCCTTCCCCCAACATGCTGGGGGTTATGATGGACAGGAAGGTTGACATGGTGACTTTGTGACCTGCCCCACTGCTCACTGCTCTGTATGCTGACAACTTAAGTGGTGGTCACAGGACCTTTGTAAGGGTGTCCGATGAGGTCTCCTTGTCCCTTGTCTCAGTCGAGGAACCCATAGATTCTGTTAGCCAGTCAAGTGATGGCACAATTTAGAAAGACGTGGAGATAATGTGATGATTCCAATATCCTCTGTGAATAGGGACAGTCCAGTCATCCACTGTCATGTGACCCAACCTTGGCAACTTAGCAGAACCTTTTTACTAAATTTTCAGGTTTAGTGGTGGTACCCTCAGGAAGCGCTCAGTGGGAGGGTTCTTGTGAAGGGACTCCTTAGGAAGACCTGAGCGGACTCAGGTGGAATTGTCTGGAGGCTTCCTCACTGTTGCCTCCCGCGCCAGGGCTGGAATTCATCCCCAGCATTTGAATCTGCTGCATTTCTTGGTTGAAAAATTGTGACAGAAGAAAACCATAGTGCTCTGATGGGAGAGGACAGCAGATTTCACGGATCCTGACATAGTCGTGATAGTCCCAGTTATTTCAAATAGTCCTCAAAACAAAACAAAGCCCACCAATCCATTGCATTGTACCATATGCTGTTTTCAATTTACGGATTGAAAGATCTATTTTAGACATTAAGAATTTTAAAAATCACTCTTGTGCATATTAAACAAAGAAGAAACTGATTGAGGTATTTCTAAATATGCTTCCTTTCAGTCTGAAGGCTCTCAATCCTTTTTAAATGCAGCAGTGTGCAGCTGTCTCTCCACACCATGCCCTCTCTCTGCTGCTCTGTGATTCAGCAGGGTGGAGCAGGGGCTAAGCAACCCATACTTCTCTCTCTGAGAGCTGGGGCCTGTGTCCTTGTTTCTAAACCTTCACTGCTGGTTGGAGCTCTGACCAGAGGACAAAGATGATGTCATAAAGGGCTCCACACTTTCACCTTGCTCATTGTAAATACTATCTATCCTGAAGTGGAAAAGTTGTGATGCCATACTATGAGGAGGCCCCAGTCATAGGAAGATATAGGAAGATGTCCATTTGTGTAAAGCTTCCATGAACAGCCCTGGCACAGCCTGAGGACTCCTCCAGCCCAGGTGCCACAGGTGACATTGAAGAAGCTTCCAGATAATTTCAGATCATGCCACACAAATCCTATCTCACTGCTCAGGACTTCCCAGGAGGCCTATCACTGGGGCCTTCCTACTCCAACCTCCCTGAGGGGTCTGGCCTGTAGAACCTTTGCAAAATAAAACGGTTCTGTGTTAATCCATCAAAGTTGGGCAGTTTGCCACTTGGCAGTGGATGACTAAAGATTCTGGCCGTAGCTCATGATCCTCATCTAGACACTATCATTGCCTGACTGACCTGAGGGTTCATTGTTGGTCTCCCAGTTTCCATATACTGGCTTCTTTGTCCCTGGACCGCTTCACCATCAATGACCTGGTAATTTCACTACCTCAACTACTGTCTCAGTCAGCAAAATGCCTAGGTTCCTTGAGGTGGTCTCTAAGGACCTTCCTGTGAGGAGGTGGGATGAGGGACAAGGTGGTCTCATCTGAAACCCCTGCAAAGATCCTCTAACTGTCACTTGGGACTTCAGTAATGCAGGGCTTTGAGCAGAGGAGCAGGTCACAAAGTCACCATGTCAACCTTCCTGTCCATCATAACCCCAGCATGTTGGGGGAAGGGCTATACAGGCAGTGGGAGGCAGGATGCTCCAGAGCAGCTACCTCTCCAGTCTATTCCTCTGAGCCCACCAAGTGGAGAGCAGCAGTAAGCATTGGTAAGAGGACACAAGGGCTGGTGGCCCTGAGTACGGGGGCAGAGGCAACAGAGAAGGAAGTCAGAGGTGGCTAACCTACCTGCGACCTTCCTTACAGCAAGTGGGGTCTTACAGACCACCAAGAAAATGCAGGGCTGTTGGCCGTGGGTGCCCCACTCTGTGCTCTTCCTGCTGATGCTACCACCATCGTGGCTTAGCACAGAGAAACTCCTGTACCAGGACTCTGATTGGAGAAACTACCATGGACATGGCTTGGACTCCAGAAGTTTGTACCACAATGAAGACCACGTCCTAGCATCCTGGCATGGGAGGAATGCAATGAAAGAGCCATGCCAGGCCAGCCCTGACATCTACTTTGTCCTGGACAAGTGAGTGGGTTTTTTTTCCTTACAGGTGACACTGACAGAGGGACAGAGGCCCAGCCTCTGCAGGGGATAGATAGACAGGTCTATTGTGTTCAGAACTCCGGTTACTTGTCTCTGTGACTGACGTATTTCCCGAAGGCAGGGAAGCACCACAGGGCTACTTGATGGCTCTTTCTCCAGCATCTTGCCCCTTTCTGGGCCTTCATTGTTCCTTAGCTCATCAGCTGCTAGAACTTACCTTTTCATCTGAGAGATCAGCCCACCCAGGACTCTGTAGAGATTGCTGCTGTTGTGGGCACTCTCCCAGTCTTCTGGTTGAGTGGCCTTTGTTTTGCTGCCCTGAGTGTTCAACTTCTTCCTTCTACCACAGGGAGCACCACAAGCCCCTACCCTGTCAGGAGCTGGTTCTGTCTCAGTGTGATTCTGGGTAGCTGGGCTAGTCCTTAGGCCCCACTTGCCTGTCAAAGGAAGGGTAGGGGTGGGTCTAGGCTGGGAGAGGAGGCCTGGACTCCTTTCTTAGCACCTCTTGCTGGGCTGGGAGTAGACTTTGTGCCCACTCAACCAGAGCAGAAGTTTGAGGAAGGTTGAGGAAGCCCTGGCTGGACTCTCCTGCATGCTGGCATCCTCCAAACATCTTGAGCTACAGAGAAACTGGGAGCTTCTTTGTTAGTATCCTGAGTGGACTGCACGACTAGATTGAGGGGGTGCCCATGACATCTTCCAGACAAGACCAGGGCTTCCTGAGCTATTTCAGGTTTGGATCTTCTCACTTCTCTCCTTCTTGAACACTGGTGGTTAAGGAGTCATGGGCCCAGTTCCCATATTCTAAGCCAGGCCTATACCCTGGGAAAGGATGAGCCCTTTGGGGCTGACAGCCTTGTTAGGCCAGTCCTTCCAGAGAGTGGCCATGTTGTCAAAGGGGCCTCTCAGCTACCATTCTTGTTGTGTGTGTTCCACTGATTCCACTGGGACCTGTTGTGGGATACAGTAGGAAATGAGCCCAATTCCGTGACAGGTGAGAAAGGCTGTGGGAATAAGTGAGGGTGAAAACATTAATTGTGCAGCCTATCAATGTGCCGTGAGCTTAAAGACAACTGAGGCGCTAACCATGGCTTATATGCTAGATGAGACACACAAGGCTGTGAACAATGAGACTCTGCCCCAACTCTGAGACCTGTTAGCATTTTGCCCATTATCCACAGCCTCCCATAATGGGCAGCAGGTACCAGCTTGTACCCCAGATGCCATGGCCCCAGAGTTTGCTGCCCAGGAGCTTCCAGGGGCCTTTTCAGGACCCCAGAAACTCACTATCCCTTTGTTGTAGCCTGACCTCAGTTAATATAGGCAATGGAAAGATGGAAGGTATTTTTGATGAAAGGATTTGAGTACTCACAGCTCAACAAATGCAGAGCCTGTGGGCTCTGAGACCCTCCTAGGTGGTCAAGGTCTATCTCTTTCTAATTTCCTTGTGGGCAGGGACACATTATCTTTGTGCCTGCATACATACACCCTACCATCAAATTCTCAATGCAGGCTGACATCAGACTCTTCCATGTTCTTTCTCTCCAACCTTGGTGTCTGTTATCAGGTTGACTACTGACCCAGGTACTATGTGTCAGGGTCCAGTCTGTGTGACGACTACCTTCCTGCTTCTTGAAGTAGGAGTTAGCCCTTGGTAAGGAAATAGGATCACAGGTTAAATAGCATGCCCAAGAACCTCAGCAGAAGTCAAACTTGGCTCTTCTAGTTTCTGTCAACTGATTCCCTAGTCCTTACCCTTAGGAGTTTTTTCATTGTTATTGGAATTGTTTAGAAGCTTTTTCCATAGTGGTAAAATATACATCAAATACAATTGACCCTTTCATCCATTTTTCAGTGTTCAATTCAGTGATCTTAAATCTATTTACAGGGTTGAGCAGCCATCACCACCATCTGTGGCTGTATCGTGTCATTACACCCTGAAACTCCATACTCCCTAATCTTCCTCTCCTAACTCCTGGTGAACTCTATTTTATTTTCAGTATCTATGAATCTGTTTATTTTAGGTAACTCATGGAAATAGAATCATAAAATATTTGTAAATTTTTCTAATTTAAATTAGTATGATCCTTTTCCAAACATTTAAGTTTTAGCATCTATCAGAATTTTGTTCCTTCTTTATGGCTTATTAAAGTTCCCATAGGCTGGGTGATATAGTTTAGCGGTAGAGCACTTATCTAGCATGTGCAAGGCTCCAGGAATAATCTCAGCACTGCAAAAATACTCATAGTGTTCCGCTGTAGGCGTATGGCATATTTTATTTATTTCTTCATCTGCTGATGAGCGCTTGGGTTATTTCTCCCTTTGACTGTTAGAAATAATGCCTGCATGAACACTGGTTTACACAGATTTGCTTAATAGCCTACTGTCTCCTTCTTTTGTATTTGTACCTAGAGGTGGAATTGCTGGATCATGTGTCAACTCTTTAACTTTCTAAGGAACCACTGAAATGTTTCATCTAATAGGCATTTCACTTAACATTTCTACCAATAATTCATGAGCACACAGTTTCTTCACCACCTATTATCTTGA